TGGGGGGTGGGGAGGTCCTGTGGTTCTTCCCCGGGAAAATTTTGACTCCTAGATGGCGGGAAATGAGCTTTCCCCGACTTTTGTGGTGTCTTTTAATGACTTTTAAATTCTTCAAAATTCAAGGTTCCCCCCACCCCTTGAAAATGATTCAATTAATCAATGAACGCCAAAGATAAAGGGTCCGGGTTCCCCGGAAAAATTTCTATTTCTAGATGTCAGGAGATGAGCTTACCTGACTTCAGAAATGTCTTTTAATGACTTTTAAAGTTCTTCAAAATTCAAGGTTTTCCCCTCTTTAAAAAGGTCAGGTAAATTTTTCTCATTTTTTATTTTATGTGTGTATACATACATAAACAAATGAGTAGTTGCATGTGTAATTTTTTTTTTCCATGAATCGATAAATCCCAAAAAGAAAGGGTGGTCCGGGGGTTCGATCTCCCCCGGGAAAATTTTAATTCCTAGATGGCGGGAATTGAGCTTTCCCGACATTTGAAGTGTGTTTTAATGAATTTTATGTTCTTCAAAATTCTAATTTTCTAATAGCAAAAAAAAAAAAAAAANNAAAAAAAAAAAAAAAATCAGCTCACGGGTCCTGAAAAGGTAGGACTAGAATCCTTTTCTCTTTCCCCTTTTTTTTTTGTTGCACAAGGGAGGGATCAGGACCCATGATCCCCTTCTCCCAGATCCACCAATGTGAATTGCGAGAAAATGTAACTCGGTCGGGTACTGGATAAACATTCTCTTTCCCATCCTTCTGCTTCTTCCCTCCTTCTTTTTTTGCTTTTCCGATCATACAAAGTTCTCCAGACATTATATATTTTTCGCCAAAAAGTGGGGGGGGGGGGGCCGGGCCCCCCGGCCCCCCGGTTCCGCCGCCCATGTAACGTTATACTTGACTAACAGCAAACTTGGCAATGTGAGGTGCCCCTTTGTTTATTTTTCAGTTGCTTAAATTATTGGTTGTAATTTTATTTAATTTTTTTTTTTACCATTTTGATTTTTCTATTTTGTACTTTTATATGATGTTACAACATTTTAACTGTCTAGTCTTTTATTATAGGCCCCTATTTATCCTTTTTAATGAATTATTATGTAACAAAAGTAACATGCAATTTGGTCATTGGCCACCTTATATAATTGTTTGAGATGTGATGTTTGAATAAATAAAGTAATATTTCTAAATATCAACCAACATACAAATAAGTAGCAACCCAGGTTCTTTTGATAAAAAAATTTCCTCAAACTGCTGATGTTGTTATGTCATGACATAATAATTGGATGCACAGCACAATTAAATACTTGAATCTGGTGGGGTTTTTTCAGGTCCATGAAATGATACCACATAGTGGAAATTTGGCCTGATGGAACGCTGACTGATAGACATTGCTAATAGCAGAATGCATAGAACCATCTCATCACGATTTTCAACACAGCCAATTCCAGATGAAAGCTTAACCAAAATAAATGAGCAAATGTACAAAGTAAAAAGCCAGATATTGTCTATAATGTCAAAATAAGTTTAGAACATTTAGGAAAGACACAGTTGGGTAAGGGAAGGTTGTGCGAAGAGAACATTGTATTGAAAATGTTCCACTGAGTATTTCATGAAAGCAAAAAAAAAAAAGTCTCCCATAAACTAGTGTATGCAGAAAACCAAAACCTTGAAAAAACTTTTTCTTTTATTCAAAAAATGTAAATTACACTCTTGCCAAATAATAGTAATAGTTTAAACAGTACCACTTCGGGAAAATAGATATTGTATTATTTATTTTAAAAATAGATAAAGTTTGTGATTGTACTAATGGTCACACATGCTTTTCTGACTCTTCTGTACTATTATATTTATTACTGTATTTGTTAGCTAATATTTATAAACACAATTAAGGGTTGCCTTAATTTATTAGCTGTGAATTATCTCAGTGTTAATTCACACTTTATTATATCATTTATAAGCTGGCTTTTATTATTTATAATTCGAGAAAAAAAGAGAACAATAAAGAAAAATAACTTAACAGATTTAATATTATTGACTATTTTATAATTTACTTGCTTCAATTTTTTCAGATGTGCAATTTTGTGCGAGTGTAATTGCACAAGGAGAGAGCAATATATATATTGTACAGTATTGAAGAAAGTTGACTTTCCAGCTTAGATTTATACATTAAAAATACAGATACAAATACCAACAATATACGTTATATGATTAATAAAATAGACACCATCAATAAATAATATTCATACTGCACAGATTCAGAGGAAGAAAAGATAAATTGAAGTGGTGCAATACACTAACTTTTTTGCTACGAAGTAGCCAATTCATATTCTCGACAGCAATTTGACCTCTGAAAGGTCATTGTTTGTCAAAAAACAAGGGCCTAAGACGACTGAAAAGCGGAGTTTCCTTCTTTCGTTCTGCCGGGTAAAATCAATTACTTTAGGCGACGTTTGTAGACTAACCAACACGTACTCACATGTCGAGCTAGCCTTATCCTACTCTAGGCCTGGACTAGCTAGGATGGTATAGGCCTAGCCTTGAAGGGACGAAGGTCCCAATGAAAAACAACGTCGCTTCTTGATAGCTAACATTGTCTATTTAACATCACAATAATTCATTATTAGACCTATAGTTGTTTTTTGAATTGTACTCCACAAATCTCAGCCGATACCTCGCACAACTCGAGTAACGTCTCGTATCTATTGTCGTGACGTCATGGCTCGCTGGCTCACACTTGCGATGTCTCGCACTTGTGATCAAATAATACGCTGGCTCGCACTTTGGCCGCAACACACTTTGGCAGTCAACTCGCCCCTAGAAAACCCGCCCTTGGAAACTTGCCCCATAAAAAATGTACACTTCCTAGACCATGCAGTCTTCAAAATAAAAATTGTAACCTTTGGTAATCAACTACATTTTCCACATACATAGAAATTTTTGAAAAAAAAAACCTAAACCATAATTCACCACTATAGACACTTTCTGACAAAAATGAAAAATTACGACTTTGTTACCCAATGAGAAGTGTTCTAATATAGACAATGGGTCGTGTCTCATATTATT